GGAGATGTCTCCAGTCCTCGCTCCTCCACCTCCCCATCGTCTTTATGGTCTCGGTCGGGAGGTTATCCATGTGCATTTGCAATTTCCGTTCCTAATGCCAAGCCCCCTTGTGAGTTGTGCAGCATCCTAGCGAAACCTTGCCTTGTCATTGGGCTCCCAGTCCTGTGCATGAATAATGGTCTCGGATGTATGCCCCGTATCTTGATAAGCGTCCGTAGCGCCCGCACGGGGCAGTGTGCACAAAGGGTTGGCCCTCAGTTGTAGGGCCGGGGTCTTGCTTGCACCGTGCTTATAGGAGAAGGTGAGTATGGCGCTACTCCTCCAGAGCTTAAGCTGTTCCGGGCAGAGTGTGTAATTACCTAAGTGTAGTTACAGGATGAGAGCTACGCTCGTGGTGTCCCGTCTTCCCAGCACTCTTTGTCATATAACGCTTTGAAACTACTGACGGTTTTGGCCTCCACCACCTTCTCACCTAACTTGTTCCAACCGTCTACCACTCTGTTTGCGAAAGTGAATTTTCTTATATTTCTAGCTAGTTTAAATCTATGACCTCTTGTTCTTGAAGTTCCAGGTTTCAGGAAATCTTCCCTATCGATTTGATTACTTCCTGTTACTATTTTGTATGTAGTGATCATATCACCTCTTTTTCTTTTGTCTTCTGGTTTTGGCATATTTAATGCCTCTAACCTCTCCTCGTAGCTCTTGCCCTTCAGTTCTGGGAGCCACTTAGTAGCATGTCTTTGCACCTTTTCCAGTTTGTTGATGTGCTTCTTAAGATATGGGCACCACACAACTGCTGCATATTCTAGCTTTGGCCTAACAAAAATCGTGAACAATTTCTTTAGTATTTCGCCATCCATGTATTTAAAAGCAATTCTGAAGTTAGAAAGCGTGGCATAGGCTCCTCGCACAATATTCTTTATGTGGTCCTCAGGTGATAGTTTTCTATCTAGAACCACCCCTAGATCTCTTTCTTTAACAGAATTCTTTAAAGATTTCTCACATAATTTATAGGTTGTGTGGGGTCTATGTTCTCCTATTCTAAATTCCATAACATGGCATTTATTCACATTAAATTCCATTTGTCAAGTGTTGCTCCATATACTTATTTTGTCCAGATCTACTTTTTTTGTCATTCTTGAAGGGCATGACAATCATCTAAGTTTCTTATCCTTCCTACTATCTTAGCATCATCAGCAAACATGTTCATATAATTTTGTATACCAACTGGTAGATCATTTATGTAGACAATGAACATCACTAGTACAAGAACTGAACCCTGTGGTACTCCACTTGTGACATTTCTCCATTCCGATACATTGCCTCTGATCACTGCCCTCATGTTTCTATCAGTCAGAAAATCTTTCATCCATGTTAGAAGCTTACCTGTCACCCCTCCAATATTTTCCAGTTTCCAGAACAACCTCTTATGTGGAACTCTGTCGGAAGCCTTTTTTTAGGTCCAGATAGATGCAGTCAACCCAACCATCTTTTTCCTGTAATATCTCTGTGGCTCGATCATAGAAACTGAGTAAATTCGATACACAGGATCTTCCAGATCGAAAACCATACTGTCTGTCTGATATTATATAATTTCTCTCCAGGTGTTCTACCCATTTAGTTTTAATTATTTTTTCCAATATTTTGACTATTACACTTGTCAATGATACCGGTCTATAATTGAGGGGGTCTTCCCTGCTTCCACTTTTGCAAATTGGAACTATGTTAGCCTTTTTCCACACATCAGCTACAACTCCTGTAAACAGGGATGCCTGAAAAATCAGTTGAAGTGGAATGCTGAGCTCAGGTGCACATTCTCTCAGAACCCATAGTGAAACTCCATCTGGACCGACTGCTTTGTTCTTACTGAGCTCCTTTAGCATATTTTCCACTTTATCTCTAGACACCTCTATACACTCTATTTTGTTCTCTGGAATTCTTATTGTGTCTGGTTCTCTGAAGATCTCATTTTGTACAAACACACTTTGGAACTTTTCTTATAATGTTTCACACATTTCCTTTTCATTTTCCGTGTATCTGTCCCCCATTTTCAACCTCTGAATATTATCCTTTACCTGCAGCTTACTTTTAATGAATTTATAGAAAAGGCTTGGATCTGATTTACATTTGTCTGCTATACTGTTCTCAAAGTTCCTCTCTGCCTCTCTCCTTACTGACGTGTAGTTGTTTCTCGCATCTTTGTATCGCTGGTATGTTTGGGGGTTTGGCCTCTTTCTATAATGATTCCAGGCCTAGGTCTGCATCTCTGTTTTGGTATGAATGTTTGTGTGCCTTCATCGTATATTTTGCAAAATATGGCATACTATCTCATTTACTTCCTTACCTAACAACAAGTTTGTCCAATTATACTCATGAAATTTTTGTTAAGTTCCCCATAGCGTCGTCTCTTGAAATCGAGTTTAACAACTGTTTCAGTGTCTCCATTCTCTATTAGATTATATCGCAAAGCGTATTTAATGTCCAAGAGGACGTGATCACTCTTTCCCATGTGTGCTGACCTCCTGCGGTATGCAGGAGGTCAGTGTTCCCTGAGTGTTCCCTGTCCCACCGGAATCGTCTGTCAAACCATTTCCAGTCGCCCCTCAGTCCCTCCTTCATGGACTCCACGTATCTCATGTAAGTGAGCAGGGCCCGTCCTTTCAGGGATGCTTCACCAGGTAGATCGCTGCATACATGGCGAAGCTTTGGGCCCACTGTCCGTCAGTTAATGGCGGCGTCTTTTTGCCTGCAGGATGTGCGACTGGGGCGTTTCTTGTGACGCCAGTCTCAGTGGGGTCGATCCCCAGTCATGGCCCAGTAACTCTCGCAGGTCAACGTATTTGTTGGCCCATATCCTTTCCTTGAGGACCGCCGGTACGTGTTCCCCAGGTAGGGCATGTCTGGCCCTGCCTGAGCAGAGAGCGGCCCGGGCCAAAAGCTGGAAGGAGGTGGAGGGGAAGGGGAGCTAGACTTGCTCACATGTCGATACTCACTAGAAGGAAGTGGAACTAGAGGTGCGCCTCCGTCTTCTTGTCTCATGTTCTCGTCCAGACCTCGTGCTCTGGTGCAGTGGTGCGTTTTCTGTGGAAGAGTTTTCACTCGAAGTTTCTTCCTGTGCGTCTTGTACCGCGGCTGCCCCTGGTGTACGTTTTGTGTTGGCCCCAGCTGGGCTTCACAACTGGGCTTCACAACTGGGCCAGGAGTGTCTGTAGTGTGACACAGTCCTCATCTGACAATTGCTGACACACCCGTGCGTCTCGTCTCCCGTTTTCGTGTCTGAGGGGCCCTGGGGGAGTCGTCATCAGAATCTGAGTCTCCTGACGTGCCCTCTGAAGTCGGGGAAGCGAAGCGTGCTGCCTGTTGTTGTTTCAGATTTAGCTACTCAGAACGAAATGTCCATGTAGGACGGGCTATGTTGAGCCCATAACCTATCGGCTTAGTCCGGGTTCTCGGCAGCTGCCTAATTCCGTGCATTGCTTCGCTGCCGCCCGCCAACCGGCCATGCCTTCTGCACGTGGGACGTGAGATCACCTTCTCATTTCTGCGAAACAAGTAATTGAAAATTAGATAGCCCAGGCATGCGTCGTGCACTGTCCTACCATGCAGTGCCAACATGAGAAATGCTTGCGTAAAGCGTAGCAGGGGCCAACTGACATTAGGAAGAGAGCGGGGAAGGGAGGTAGACCGTAACAAGTAGAACTACCCTGAAGTTATCAGAGAGGAACAACTATGTAGAATAACTACTGCAGTCAAAAGAGATGAAAATGAAATTGGAATTCGGATTCGTCCCCGATTTCATATAATAATGCGAACAACAGCTGCAAGAAAAGCCTAATTGAGCCAGTAAAATTGCAATACTAAAATGGTTTGTATAATTTGTAGAAAAATCAGCAAATAACCCAAATAATGCAAAATAAAAGCATCAAAACGCACCCAAGAACCATTACCAGCGTCAGTGAACACCGCTGATGCTGAGAAATAACGCACCCAAGAACCATTACCAGCGTCAGTGAACACCGCTGATGCTGAGAAATAACGCACCCAAGAACCATTACCAGCGTCAGTGAACACCGCTGATGCTGAGAAATAACGCACCCAAGAACCATTACCAGCGTCAGTGAACACCGCTGATGCTGAGAAATAACGCACCCAAGAACCATTACCAGCGTCAGTGAACACCGCTGATGCTGAGAAATAACGCACCCAAGAACCATTACCAGCGTCAGTGAACACCGCTGATGCTGAGAAATAACGCACCCAAGAACCATTACCAGCGTCAGTGAACACCGCTGATGCTGAGAAATAACGCACCCAAGAACCATTACCAGCGTCAGTGAACACCGCTGATGCTGAGAAATAACGTTACCGGTGACTAGGAAGAAGACTAGGATGCAAATTCAATACATGCATAATAAATGAACTAAACTAAATTACTGTATAATCTGTAGTTAAATAGGGTAACAAACAGTGTTGAAATAAACAGTCCTGCACGAGATCATGCATAGGATTTTGCAATTATTTCATCAAGATTGTAACTTGCTTAGCTAAATGAATTGTGGGGTTCAGTCCCTGAGCCCATTATGTGCCTCTGTAACCCTTTCCACTACCGCCCACAAGATGGGTATGGGGGGCATAATAAATGAACTAAACTAGATATCTAAAACAACATTATCAACAACTCTAAACCATACCGAGTATTTATATGCTACAATTGTATTCATTGTATTTATACAGCTACATAATTGTCTTAATTGCATGTATACGTTACAATTAAGGATTATAATAAAGTTCTTGTCCGAAACGCTGTGCGTGTTAGTGGCTTCTGGCATTGAATGTACTAGCTCTATCTACTCATTTTCAATGTATGTACCTTTACCTGAATAAACATCTTATCTCATCTTATCTTATCTTATCCTATGTTATGTTATCTTATCTTATATTATCTTATCAACGGTTCGGGATCCTGGTGTACGAACGCAAGGTTCACAGCGGACGAAAAGTAAACAACACAGCTGTTGTGTGTACGAAGTGACCCCTTGTAGTGAATGCTGATCTGTCAGCCTGTAGCAGGCCGCCCCTCGCATGGCTCTCTAGCCACAGTCACCACACATCACACGTCTCCCAGACGCAGCGTGTATATCTAGTCTCTTGGTGACGTAAGTGTTCTCTTAAGTTTATTAAAGGTTACGCGCCATTTGGGACATTTATTGGGCGGGTCAAGTCGCCCCAGTTGCCAGCACTCTCCTCAAGATTATCTTAGTTAGGCTGACATAAAGATACTCTGACCATAGTATAAGCTGACATAAAGATACTCTGACCATAGTATAAGCTGACATTAAAGATACTGTAACCATAGTATAAGATGACATAAAGATACTCTGACCATAGTATAAGCTGACATAAAGATACTCTGACCATAGTATAAGCTGACATAAAGATACTCTGACCATAGTATAAGCTGACATAAAGATACTCTGACATAAAGATAAGCTGACATAAAGATACTCTGACCATAGTATAAGCTGACATAAAGATACTCTGACCATAGTATAAGCTGACATAAAGATACTCTGACCATAGTATAAGCTGACATAAAGATACTCTGACCATAGTATAAGCTGACATTAAAGATACTCTGACCATAGTATAAGCTGACATTAAAGATACTCTAACCATAGTATAAGCTGACATAAAGATACTCTGACCATAATATAAGCTGACATAAAGATACTCTGACCATAGTATAAGCTGACATAAAGATACTCTGACCATAGTATAAGCTGACATTAAAGATACTGTAACCATAGTATAAGCTGACATAAAGATACTCTGACCATAGTATAAGCTGACATAAAGATACTCTGACCATAATGTAAGCTGACAAAGATACCCTGACCATAAGCTGACATAAAGATACTCTGACCATAATATAAGCTGACATAAAGATACTTTGACCATAATATAAGTTGGCATAAAGATACCTTGACCATAAAGATACTCTGACCATAGTATAAGCTGACATAAAGATACTCTGACCATAATGTAAGCTGACAAAGATACCCTGACCATAAGCTGACATAAAGATACTCTGACCATAATATAAGCTGACATAAAGATACTGACCATAATATAAGTTGGCATAAAGATACCTTGACCATAAAGATACTCTGACCATAGTATAAGCTGACATAAAGATACTCTGACCATAATGTAAGCTGACAAAGATACCCTGACCATAAACCGACATAAAGATACTCTGACCATAATATAAGCTGACATAAAGATACTCTGACCATAATATAAGCTGACATAAAGATACTCTGACCATAGTATAAGCTGATATAAAGATACTCTGACCTAATCTGATCATACATCAACGCAACTCGTCAAGAAAACCTTGAAAATTGGTGCCAGGTGGAAGGGGTTCTCGCCTAGTTATACTCGTCTAGTTGTGCTTGCGGGGGTTGAACTCCGCCTCTTTGGGCACGTCAATCAATTTTTTGTTTTTGTCTTACATAAACACACATCCCCATCATGCAGCCTATAGAAGCTGTCTAACCCCCAGGTACCTATTTACTGCTAGGTGAACAGGGGCATCAGAGTGAAAGAAACTGCCCATTTGTTTCCGTTTCTGCCGGGAATCAAATCCAGACCCCTTAGGAATACGAGTCCCGAGGGCTGTCCACTCAGCCGTCAGGCCCCCAAAAGTGGTACATTACCAATGTCCATCCTTTTAATTGGCCATAATTATCATTGTACCATACTGTATGTCCCTGTTCAAATGAGCAGGGTACAGTCGAAACATATTCGTTACCTTTAGTTGTACGGTGCTTGCTTGGAAGTAGAGAATACACAGTAGTTCAATTCCGTAGTTTATTGGATAAAGGCAACAAGGTATAGATGCGAGCCTGCCGAGGTCCTACCTACTCTAGACTCATGAGAATACTGAGGCCTGCTACGAGAGTGGCAAGTGCCGGCTCTGTGTGGAATGACGTCAGAGGCCTACTCGCCTGTGATTGGGTATGTCCCAACCGTCAATCAATTTGAGTACTAACAAACATACACTAGTGTTATATAATACCTGATTTTGTAGTTGTTAATGCTATTCAGGGTACTTTAATTTGGTATTGTCTAGGCTAGGCTAGGTTAGCCTTGTGGTCTCGCAACAAAAATCATAAGTTTATCTTTTATTTCATCTTTTATTTTTTTCATGCTATGTAACTGTTATCATTTTTATAAATTTTGCAAGTATTTACCTACTTATAAGTTTCTTAGATTAAGGACCTGCCTGAAACACTGTGCGTACTAGTGGCTTTACAAAAATGTAATTACTATGCTATGTATCCTCACAAACCCAATGTACCTTCTTGTATATATATAAATAAATAAATAAATAAATAAGTTGAACTAAGTTGACTCTCAGATCAGGAACGGTTGAGGGCCACAGGACTAAACACTGCACACCAGGCATGCCAGGGCAGATCTCACAGAAACTTTTAAAATACTGAACAATTTGGAGGACATTATCCTCCAAATTATTATCCTAATTTGTAAAATTTAGCATATTAACTCCCTGTCAGTTTGGCTTTCATTTCCAAATAAGTACCAATAATGCCATTATTAGTCTGCTTAATATAATATTGAGTGCATTTTCTACTGCATTATTCCTTGGAACTTTTCCTCGAAATGATCCTTATATTGTGCTTCAGTGATCCAATGCATAACCCTGAAATGCTATCCTCATGTACCTAGTAATCCTTGTTTCATTATTGTGTATTGTTATTATTGTGTATTATTCTGATCTGCTTTTGTATCAAAATTTCTTCAAATTACCTGTAAACATTTTTTGTCGATTTTAATGTAATTATTCTACTTAAAATTATCTGTACCTGTAAAGAAAAGCTGTAAAATACCTGCTAACTTTTTTTATCAATTTTACTATTAATTTATAAAAAAATTTCTGTTAGTTTAAGGACTTGCCTGAAACGCTATGCGTACTAGTGGCTTTACAAGAATGTTAATTCAACTTATTTTCTATATTCTCTGTTAACCCCCAATGTAACTTCTTGTATATAAATAAATAAATATACACAGCCCTTGACAAAAATTAGTTCCTGATTGGCCTCTTCATTGACCTGAGAAGGGCCTTTGATACTGTTAACCACAACTACCTCTTACTTAAACTTCACCATTATGGAATCCGAGGCCTTGCTCTGAACTATATCCGATGATAGACACCAATATGTAGCCAACAATGATATAACCTTACCCACTCCACCATTAATTAATTTATTTATTTATTTATATGCAAGAAGGTACATCGGGGGGTTAGGAGAGTACATAGCAATGAAGATTTTACATTCAGATTAACGATCTGCCCGAAATGCTATGCGTGCTAGGGGCTTTATAAGAATGTATAACTTAAAGTCTCTGTACTCTATTAAACCCAATGTACCTTCTTGTATATAAATAAATAAATAAAATAAATTCTTGTAAAGCCATTAGTACGCTCAGCGTTTTGGGCAGGTCCTTAATCTAACAGATAATTTTAAGTAGGTAATTTCCAGCATAATTGACAAAAAATTGTTTGCAGATACATTGTAAGAAAATTAAACATAATACACAAAGATTAGATTAATACACAATAATACAAAATAATGACAAAGATTAGTAAGTACAGTACATTAGGGTAAGATAGGGTTATCAACTAGTTCATTGAAACACGATTTGAGGATCATTTCAAGGAATAATGCAGTAAAATATGCACTCAAATCTCAACTCGTCTGCAAATTTTATGATGTGGTTTGTAATATTCTCAACTATGCCATTGATGTATATGACAAAAAGGGTTGGCCCCAAAATGAACTCATGTGGGACCCCACTTAGCACATTTCCCCTAGTGAAATTCATTCCCATTTAGCATGGCCCTTTGTTTTCTATGTTTTACCCATTGTGTTACCCATTCCAGTATTCTTTTATTTATTCCATGTGCCTGTAATTTCCCTGCCAGTCTCTCATGTGGTACCTTGTCATAAGCTTTAGCAAAGTCCATGTAAGCTAGATCTAACGGAAGTCCTTTGTCTGAATAGCTGGTTACCATTTTCAGAAATGTGAGCAGGTTAGCGAGGCAGGATCTATTTTTAACAAATCCCTGTTGCATTGATTTTACAAGATTGTTCTCTGTGAGATGTTGTATGATTCCCTCCCTTAGGATTCTCTACATGAGCTTGCAAATGTGATGTCAAACTGATGGGATGGAAGTTTTCTGCTGAGCTCTTTCTGCCGTTTTTGAAAATGGGGGTAACATTTGCATTTTTCTAATCCAGGGGGAATTATCCCTTGGTCCAGGGATTTTCTGAAAAGGAGTTTCAGTGGCATGCATAGTGCATTTGTCAATTCCTTTACAACTTTGGATTGAAATCCATCCATATCTGGGGCTTTTGAATCTTTATTTTGGCATTGTTCTTCCTGATTGTGTCGCATGTCTCCATACCATGCTCTGTGGTGTAGTGGTAAGACACTCACCTGGAGTTCTGCGAGAGTTTTGTCATGGGTTCGTATCCTGGCCGGGGAGGATTTACTGGGCGCAAATGCTTAAGTGTAGCCTCTGTTTAACTCAACAGTAAAATGTGTACTTGGTTGTAACAACGATTCTTCGTGGCGGGGATCGTATTCCAGGGACCTGCCTGAAACGCTACGTGTACTAGTAATTACCTAAGTGTAGTTACAGGATGAGAGCTACGCTCGTGGTGTCCCGTCTTCCCAGCACTCTTTGTCATATTACGCTTTGAAACTACTGACGGTCTTGGCCTCCACCACCTTCCTCACCTAACTTATTCCAACCGTCTACCACTCTGTTTGCGAAAATGAATTTTCTTATATTTCTTCGGCATCTGTGTTTAGCTAGTTTAAATCTATGACCGCTTGTTCTTAAAGTTCCAGGTCTCAGAAAATCTTCCCTATCGATTTTATCAATTCCTGTTACTATTTTGTATGTAGTGATCATATCACCTCTTTTTCTTCTGTCTTCGAGTTTTGGCATATTTAATGCCTCTAACCTCTCCTCGTAGCTCTTGCCCTTCAGTTCTGGGAGCCACTTAGTAGCATGTCTTTGCACCTTTTCCAGTTTGTTGATGTGCTTCTTGAGATATGGGCA